AACACATCATTGTTCTTGTTTGGTTCTTTTAAAAAAAAAAATGAAAAAAAAAAAATGTTCGTGTTCGATTCATTTGCTTTTTAAACGAATCGAACACGAACTCTCTGACGAACCGAACATGATCTCTTTGACGAACCGAACACGAACTGTTCGCGAACAATGTGCTTTTTTGACAGCCCTAATCACGGATATGTTCATTTCACATTTTGTCTCTAAGTGTAAAGCCACTCATCCACCTAATCTTTCCCTCATAAATATAAGAGGAAAACTATCAAACAGGTTATATGCATGGCAGATTATGACAACAACCTTGACATTTTACCACCAAAACAAATAAATGCATAATGGGTTGCACTGATTCCAGGTAATTGGGAAGATGAGGGCGATGATGACTGATGATTCCACAGACATTCCTAACAGCTCTTTCTTGCTGGATGATGATTCAAGGTAAGCTATTATTAATTAAAACGTCAAAAAAAAAACCTTAGAAAAAAAGAAGAAATTAAATAAATGTATGGTTGAAATGTCTGACAGCATACCGTTTTCTCTGGACGACATATCCCGATCGGGAATCGACATCAACCTCGCCGCCGACCTGGAACCGCCCCCTCTCCTCCGGCAAAACTCCGAGTTCCATTTTCTTTCGCAACAGCTACCAATTGAGTGATTCTTTTTATTTATTTTTTATTATTATTATAGGAAGGGGCCAAAATGTAAAAAAAAAATTCTTTTTGTGGCTTGAGTGTGCAGGTTTTTTTTTTAAATTATTTTTAATTACTGATTTTTGGGCTTTTTTGTGGCTGCCCGAAAAAATGCTTTTTTTATTTTTATTTTTATTTTTTACTGTATTTATTTTGGTTTGTGAATTGTTTTGTAAAAGAGTGAATAAAGTTTAAACCCGTGAAATCATTTTTTTAATATTTTCTTACGAAATAATTTTCTTATGTATTTATTTTCCTATATATATATATATATATATATATAATATTATTAAATTTAATTGAAAGATATTATAAATAAAGTTGCGTCTATGCAATTAAGGGCCCGTTTGGGGCAGCTTATAAGTGCGACAGTATTTTTAAAAATATTGTCTAATCGTTTGGTTTGCGTGTTTTTGAAAAAGATATCTGTCATGTTTGAGTTTTTTATACTAAACGTGAGCCGCGGGTTGGGCCCTAAAAATATTGTCTAATCGTTTGGTTTGCGTGTTTTCTGTCATGTTTGGGTTTTTTATACTAAACGTGAGCCGCGGGTTGGGCCTAAATATATAAAAAAAGTTGCAATTTAAGTAAAAATTTTCTCCCGCAGTTGACCCGTTAACCGTGTTTCAGGATAAGCTGTTTATTCTGAAACACACAAGCTGCCTCAAACAGACCCTAATTTTAAATTAATGAAAATAAATACTTAAAATAAAATAAAAGCATTAATTCATATAAATTAAAAGAGGGGAATAAAAATAAATATCACACTATTCTTATGTGTTTACATCTCTAACACTAACTTTAATATTCATATTCATACCACAATCTCTAGCATTACATCAAAAATCTGGCAATAGATTTATAGGACCGAAAGGTTATAAATGTAAATATCAAACATTGGGTGTTAGACATACGAATCCAGAAGAATTGCGTGGCAGGCATGTAAATTTGCTTCTAATTATTTGTTATTTAAGTTGATCAAATATAATTCAATATATTAGTTAATTCCATGAACTACTAATAATCATTAATTAGTATTTGAATTAAAATAACAAAATAAGAATAGATAAATAAATATTAATTAAAAATATTAATATCCATTTAAATAAATTAATATTTCATAAGTAAATAAATTAATATTATATTTGATTCCTAATACATTAATTAATATTAAACCTAAGAAAATCATAATTTTCTCACATATATATATATATATATATATCATTCAATTCTTATGTATTTTTATATCTAACACCTATATTTTGATATTTTTTACATAGAACTTCAATCTTTAACATATATAAAAATACCACAAAAATTATTTTTCTTAAAATAAAATATACATTTTCATACAAATTCAGAACATCTAAAAAATCAAAAACTAAAACACACGACAAAATCGATCCAACAGACACCCTTTCCAGCAACAAGGCCCTGTCAGCTAACATTTCTATCACAATTGAACACATCTCAGTTGATCTAACTGTCTGCAACCTCCATTGGCAGCAGAAGAGGCTCCAATGTGTTGACGACGTCTCTCATGAGCGGCCGCGCCTTAGGGTTTTGGTTGAGACAATAGTAGGCCAAACTGGCCATCCTGCGGACCGCTTTCGTCGGGTAATCACCACCCAGCCTGGGGTCAACGATGTTGAGGACAGCTTTCTTCTGCATGAGCAACGGCAAAGCCCATTCGGCGAGAGTCTGTTCATTCGCCGGCCGCATTTTTTCAAGGGATTTTCGTCCGGTGATTAGTTCGAGGAGGACGACACCGAAGCTGTAGACGTCGCTCATTGCCGTCAAATGACCTGTAGGCAGCGTTACAAGTTGTAATGGTCATATTTGATGCTAGAGGCATTTACAAACATTCAACACAATTCTTTTATATTTAAACATGAAACTTTAGATGTTAGATATGTAAATGCATAAGAACCGCGTGGCATGAATGTGAATTTCCCGTGATGTTAACATGACCAATGCATTTTGATGTCTCTATCATAACAATGGAATTACAATGTTTGTCATCAATGGTTAGCTATAATGGCAATATTGGTGTATATATATGTCTATCATTAATGGTATCAGACAATGTCCCTCAATTAATGCATCAACTTAGTCTCTCATTAGACACAAAGAAATTTTCGGCAATATTAACATGCTAAGAAGTGTCGTTACTAACATGTTATTAGTTTTTAAAATGTAATGCAATGATTTTTTTTTTTTGTGTGTTACATCAAAGAGTAGATTATGACATTCACTTTGTCATTCGAGCAAATGGTAAATAACCGCTCAATCTAAAGTGAAATGAAAATTGCAGATTAAAACCTCGTCCAAGTAATTATGTATTATGCAATTACTTCATGAGCATTGACGATGTTGATGTTAACATGATAACATGATGTTAACCTAAAGATATGATAGTACGCATACGAACAATGACATTCGATGAATAACTCAATAGAATATTGATGAAATGATGGTTTAGTTCATTATTTAATGACCAATTTTATATTCTTGCTCAATTTTTCTTCCATCTTATCAACTTTGAACTTTAAACATATTAACAAAACAAATATGATAAAGTAACAAACAAATTGCCAAATATATATGATAATTTGTTTTATTATTGAAATGTAAACTTCATTAAATAATTTAAATAGTACAAAGTGAAATTTAATTATGCCTAATTATAAGATTATTCGTCTACATCATTAACATTAAACTAATAATAGTTAAGGATCGATTAAAACTTAATTAAGATAAACTCGATAAAAAAAAAGTTAATAAACAAATTTGAACAACATTTTAAAACTTCGTCTTATGCTCAAAGTTAGCTCGAGCTCAGTATTAAAATAAATAAGCATAATGAGTAGTCCTTAATGACAACTAGGTTAGAAACTAGCGACTAATGGTTAAGATATGCTTTGAATTTGCGTCTCCTAATTGGACAGACAGCTCTCTACCAACTCCTTCACAAGTCGATAAGCATAATGAGTAGTCCTTAATGACAACTAGGTCACAAACTAGTGACTAATGGTTAAGATGTGCTTTGAGCTTTCGTCTCCTAATTAGACTGACATCTGTCTACCAACTCCTCCACAAGTCTTGCACATACGCATAATGAGTTGATAAAACTAAAAATAATGATACCAATAATAATAATAATAATAATAATCATAAAAATATTGAGCGAGAAATGAATCGAGCCGAGCGGGGGAAGAAGAAGAGCGTTTTTATTTATTTATTTATTATTTTTTGCAAAAAAAAAAAAAAAAGAAAAGAAAAAAAAACTAACCTGTCTTCATGTACTCAGGAGCTGCATATCCACGAGTTCCCATGATTCTAGTGGATACATGAGAATTGTCTCCTACCGGGCCAGCTTTTGCTAATCCAAAGTCTGAAAGCTTTGCATTGTAGTCCTACAATTTAACATTAAATTTGGATATAGAAATTAATTAATAAAATATAATACAAAATTAAAAAATAATAATAAAAATAAATACGTACCATATAATTCCTATGTATTTAATTTACATATTTCACGCCTAAACTTTATGTTTTACATTGATACCATCCGAATCTTTCATATTACATCAAAACTTTCACTATCATAACTTTTAAAATGCGAAATATAGGTGTAAAAATTTAAAATAAAAAATTAAGTGTTAGATATGTAAATACATAGAAATTGAG